CATCATCATTATTATTATTATTATTGTTATTATTATCATCATCATTGTCATCATCATCGTCATTATTATTATTATTATATTATCATCATTATCATCATTGTTATCATCATGTGTATTCCCCAGTTAGCAGAAGACACATGTAGTGTTGAGGATGGCGAGCGGCCAGCCTTCCAACACTTCTGAGCTACAGCTGTACCGAGTGTTACAGAGAGCCAACCTGCTGCAGTACTTTGAGACCTTCATCACGCAAGGTAGTAAATGATGATGATGATGATGTTGTTGTTGTTGTTGTTGTTGTTGTTGTTTTTGTTGTTTTTATATATTGTAATATTTGTTGTTGTTCTTTTTGTTGGTGCTGTTGTTGTTGTTTTTGTTGGTGCTGAGCTACAGCTGTAGCGAGTGTTACAGAGAGCTAACCTGCTGCAGTACTTTGAGACCTTCATCACGCAAGGTAGTAAATGATGATGTTGGGGGGTGGTGATGGTTGGGGTGGTGGGAGTGGCGATGTTTGTCTTGTTGTTGTTGTTGTGGTGGTGGTGGTGGTGGTGGTACAGAAAGCCAATTTGCTGCAATACTTTGAGACCTTCATTACGCAAGGTAATAAATGATGATGATGTTGTTGGTGGCAGTGGTTGAACAATTACTGTATGTTGCCGGTGGGAGAGGGGGTGGGAGTTCCTGAAGATTATGGCTCTTGTTGGCATGACCAGCACACAAATAATCAAACAATAGAACAAACAAACAGACAATCAAACAAACAATCAAACAATTCAACAACAAATGAATTATCAAACAAACAAACAATCAAACAAACAAACAGACACAAATAACCTCACATGTTTATTCCCCCAGGAGGTGACGACGTTCAACAGCTATGTGAGGCCGGGGAGGATGAGTTCCTGGAGATCATGGCACTGGTGGGCATGGCCAGCAAACCCTTGCACGTCAGGCGGCTACAGAAAGCTCTACAGGAGTGGGTGGCCAACCCACCGGCTTTTGAAGGTAAATTATGATAATAATTTATAATGATAATGATAGTAATAGTAGTAGTAGTAGTTATGGTGGTAATAATAATGATAATAGTTACAGTAATAGGTATGTAAGAATAATAATAACATGAACAACAACAGTGATAATATTAAATTTTATTAAAAATTATAGTTCGACAATGATAATAGTAATAATAACAATA